ACACAATAGTTTTATAAAACAGGTAACCGCAAACTTTATTAAACTACTTTATAAACCTACTGGTAACGGTTACTAAAGGTTATATAAAATGTTTGTAGAAACAATTACCCAGAGTTTACAGTAACCTTATATGACCATTATAAAATTAGAACTAAATTGCGATTTTATAAAACCTTGTTAAACTCTTACATAATTTGACAACTCTAATAAAACCTTTATATAATTTACCGTTACCATAAGTAGTACAAATTGTTTATTGGGAAGTCTGCTCGTGCCTAAATTAAATTCGTGTCTAAAATAAAAGTAACCATCCAAATAAACATTTTTGACGTAATTTTCACCATTAACATATGCAATATTGCTTGTTATTAATTCATTAATTAAACTCAACAATTATTGATACTTCAAAATATTAAATTATGATTATAATTATTACATTATTAACCTTTGATTTTTTGTATTACCTGCTTACTATAATTGCAAAATATTATCACAAAGTATTAAAAATTCTTACACGGGAAGGTACAAAAAAAGACAGTTATATTTATTGGAATTTCCGTGTTAAAATGTCAAATTTTTTTGTGTAAATCAAAATTTATCCCTTGAAAATAGACTAAAAATCGATATAGAAGCAGTTTTTTACAGTAAAATAGAAGATAATGTTTTATGGGCACTGTTCCCAAAATTTTTAACGCTTTATCAGTAAAATCAGTTATCTGCACTTCAACGACGAAATCAAAAAGTCAGTACCAACGTTAATATAGTCTTTTCAAATATTGGCGTCAAGAAACTATTTAATACTTTTGTATTTTCGTATCTATTGAGATAAAAAATAATAATTTTCACATTTAGTGTTATTTTACAAAAAAGGTACTTTATTTTAACGATTGTATGACATTGGACAACTGTCAACTAACTTAAAGCCAACTTCAGCCCGTGACTAAAGCGCCATAAATTCACAACTTGTGATTCACAAGTTGTGAATGTATATGTGTAAGGTCACTTACGAAAATGAGTGTTTTAAATGTGGGAGTAGAAAAAATAAAATAAAAATAAAATAAAAATATTTATTCTTCTAAATCAATTTTATCGCCTTCAACAACTCAAAAAATGACAGTGCTAAATCAGACGAATACAGTGGCTGCGAAAAAATGTCAGTCGAATTTTGGTCGAAATGATCTTGAATAACGAATAAAGGTTATTTTCTTACTACCTCGGCCGAAAATACGTTGTTTCGTCCCCGATTCCACGGCAGAAAGTTTACGTTTGATGCATTGGTCAAATTTACGTTTGATGCATTGGAATCGGGGACGAACCAACGTATTTTCGAGTATATTACACTACAAGGGCTACGAAGGCTTCGCTCGCGCCGCAAATGTCGGGGCAGGCATCAATATGTTTCGATATACACATTTATTTTTGACCCGTATTTTCGGCCGGGTTGGGTTGGGTTGTATTTTCGGCCGAGGTAGTAAGAAAAATAGTATACACTACACGGGCAGAAAGTGTGAGAGCCCTGCGCGCCATGATGCCCGAGGCGAAGTGCAGGAATCTCACACTTTCTGCCCTTGTAGTGTAATATACTATTTTGATTTTTTCTTTATTCCTACCCATTTGGACGTTATTATTTTTCCCCGGAAAGTTAAACTTCTTTGTTCCCAATATTAATTTATGGTCGTCCGCGAATCACGCAATCATTAACATACATAATAAGGAATACATTATAAAATTCATTACAATAATTGGCGAATTAAATGTAGGTGCGCTCGTGCACACTCTTGTGGCCATTGCGCGCATCTGCGAATTTTATGCACCGGCCTGCTGCGACCGTCCACGCCACTTGATACGCGCACACATTACGTACGCCAATCTTAATCCTTTTAAGCCGACAGGAATTTATTAACTTTCTTTCTTTATTCACATTAATTGGAATTCTTTTTAGGGAAGCTTCAAATTTGATTGACCCATTTATTTCACAAGGAAATGCTGTCGACAATTTGATTTATTACAAAAAGAAAGATTAATCCAAAACATAATTAATCAAAAACAGTTTGGTATCATTTAAAAAAAATAATACAATATTATTAAGTATAAATAATCTATAATGTCTATGCTTTACATGGTGTCGCGAAAATTGCAGGTGAGGAGTTTTTGAGTTATAGGATTTTTAAAATAAATTTTATTTTCAATATTTTAAGATACACTAATAATATTTAGACAAATTAATTAATTTAATAAAGGACCTTGCACTATGGTAGATTATCATCCTAAGGGGATATGGCTCCTGGTGGATTTAAGTATACGTTAGAAATTTTATAAATTCTAAAATATTCACAATTTTTTTAAATGTACCTACCAAATTTTGTAAGTAGAACTCAAAAATAATATTAAAGTATACAATAAACTTTGTGAACAAGATACATTATTTAGCTATGTATAAAAAGCATTTATAATATCACATTAATAACATTTTAAAATTCTTGATTAAAACTTAATTGAGACACATTAATAATTATTAATGTCCCAGATAGAAAAATGTGGTCACGATGCGCGCACAGTGAGTGCACGCGTGCGTCTTTAAACGACACGCGTGCGCGCAGATCACTACACAGATGCGCTTACATATGCGTCTTATATGCAGCGCACGTGTGCCGGCGCTTTTAAAGCGCACGTGTGCCGACGCGTTTCCAGCGCACATGAATGAGTAAAAAAAGTTGTATATTTCAAAAGGAAATGCATATATAACGACGGGTTTAATGCAAAATTTTTATCTAAACTTTTTTATTCAACTAAACTACATCACAAAAGTTTGTGGTACAGTCTATTAGTCAAGACAAACCTAATCAAATTACTTACTTGAATTTATTCTCGATTTTATTACACGTCTGGGTACAACCAACTTCTAAGAAAATTTCTATGGAGTCGTTGGCAACGACAAAACATGAACCCGATCTTCAAGCTGCTTATGTTGTTTATGAAAAGAAAATTATTAATATAGCACGAAACAGCACTAATTGGACGTAAATACATTCTTTACCTCTGGAAAATTCCGATAAATTCCAAAGAGCAGAGAAGAAATACCACCATATACGCCATCATAGAAAAAGAACGCCATTGGCAACGGATTATGGGAAACGTTGTCACGAACCCGTTCGGTTCTACCCGAAGAAGACCGATGTTTTTAAATTCAAAACTATAAGTTATAATAACGGTGTTTATATACATTTACATAATTTTTTCTACTTCCACCTTTAAAACGCCCTTTATCGTACATGTTTCCATGACACTAAGTGCATGACCTTCTAAATACATATTGACAAGTAACCTCATAAAAATGGGTGGTTTATATAATTCGTACTTACATGATATTTCTCACAATTTATTACATATCCGAAAATTGCTTGACCTAAAAGTTTAGGCATGATAGCCAACCCACATAGTACAAGATGTCCAAAGGACGTCCAATGGACGTCCTTTGGACATCCTGTGCTGTGTGAAAAGATACGTCCTATTTAGGTTATTCTCAGCTTAGCCAGGCCAAACGGGTCTGGGACATCCATTGAACGTCAAGTCTAGACCCGGTCCGGCTTAGCATTATTAGGCGTATTTTGGACGTCCAAAATACGCCTATCCAGGCTAAGCCGGAATGGGTCTAGACTTGACGTCCTATGGATGTCCCAGACCCGTTCGGCCTGGCTAAGCCGAGAATAACCTAAATAGGATGTCCGTGGGCTATCTTGTGCTATCTGGGTGGGGAATCCGTTAGATATTTCAAGTCCAAGTTTAAAAGTTTTTTGAATTCATTGCATTTTATTTTAATTAAAAGTGTTTAATACTCGTGCCATCGGTCGTGGGGTAATTTCTTATCCATATCCTTATCTTATTAACATGGGTCCGCAGATGCTTAGTTTGAAAGATACTGGATGTTAAAAATTTTGAATTTGTTCGTTTTTTTTAAACATCAATATTTGTAAAAGGCAATCAATAATATTAGTCAGTAAATTATCAATTATTCATTTGTTTTGTTTTTAAAATCGGCCATAGCTAGGTACCTATTAATTTTGTAAGCTTTATTTTTAAACAGCTTGAAGCAATTGCATTTACCTTCTAAAATAAATATTAGGACATGCTTTATTAGTCATTTAAATTATGAAATGAATTAATTCTTCTTGAATTAGGTAAATCAATTATTTTGTCTTGGATCAATAAATTCAGTTTTACTTTTAATTTTATTGCTTTAGGAAACAGGAAAAAATATTAATATTTATTAATATTTAATCTGAATTCAGCCTTAAGGCTTCTATTACAGTTTAATATTTTTGACAGAAAATTTTAGTAAAATTGCTCAACAAGAACAATAAAAATGGAGCAATTTGATTGGTTTACCCATCAGGGTTACCAAAAGGTGCTATATCTTGTTTTGTGAATTTTAAAATTTCTTACTACAAAATAGTTAAAATGTTTTTGTAGTTAAAAAAGCATCATAATGCAATAACTCCAAAAAATGACACAATAGTAAAAAAAGACTTTTTATTTAACTTACCTATTTGGTTTGATCTGTATATTTTATGAAAATTATTAAATTATTTTTAATTTTTGGGCTTGCATTTTGTAAATTTTATAACAATTGGAAAAAGTGAATTAAATAAAAGTCTACTACAAAACTTTTCTATAAAAGTCATGACTTTTCTATAAAAACCTTGACTTTTTCCAACATTTGTCTACGGCAAAAAAACTACTACTATTCACTTTTTAACATTTAAGAAAAGAGGAAAAAATCTATAGTCCCATTCCAGGTAAGTAAAATCATGTTTATAAAAAATATTTTATTTAATAATTTAATGATAATAATTATTATTAAAAACCTAAACATATTAATCAGGTAATACATGTAGGTACAACAAAAGTGGTAATTAAACTAATTAATAATAGGAAAAAACAACCATTATTCTTAATTTTAAGTAAAATTATTGCTTTAATTTACTTTTGACTGAAACTTATCATTCATAGTTAGGTACCTACATTATTTTTTAATTCGGTTTCTAATACTTTTGTATCACTTAAATCATCAATTTCTTGTGATTTTTTAGGCCTTAAAGCAAACATATAAACAGAATAAATACCTTTAGGAAAATTTGTCTGTTTCTCTTGCCTAAAAACCTCTAAATTCGCCTTTTTAAACAATTCTTTTAACAATAACATGGGCCTAGTTACTGAAGAATCCTGTTCATCCATTTCTATTTCATTGTTTGAAGTAATGTTTTCTTTAACAATGAAGTACCCATTATCTTTTAAACCTTTTCTATAAATAAAAAAAATTAATATCAATTAAAAAAAAAAAAACAACTTACTGGCATTTTTGAAAAAACTTAATAAAATCCTCATCGGTTAAATGTCCCAAAACCCATTGTATCCATATAACATCATATTTACAGGGTTCAGGATCAAAATTCTGCAACCCAACTGCATAATATTTCCCTATTTTTAAGTCCAACTGAGTTCCTAAATACTTTTTGGCCTGATCCAAAAACAAGGGGTTTTGTTCCACTAAATCGACTTTATTAAATACATTGGTTAATAAAAACTTTGTTATTCGCCCTATTCCAGCTCCACAATCCAAAGCGTAGTCTCTTCCAGGTGGTGATTTTGATGTAAGGAGCTGCTTTATAAAAGTTTTTGAACCCCGAATGTCTACTTGTGAGATATGTCCAAACCCTCCAAGCATTCCATCTACCGTTGCAGGCACTTCAGCCCAATAATGAGCGCCATCTGTGTAAAATTCATCAACGGATTTTTTAATTAATTTATCAGTCATTTTACACATATACCATTAACAATTAATAACTTTAAAATTACACACTTTAAGGTTAGAATGCACACAACTTTAAGGTTAGATTTTAAGTCAGGCAATATCCTGAATTTACATTGCATTCTGGGTTGCATAGTTTTTGGTGATTTTTTTAGTAACTTTTTGTTTTATTTTAAACGGCAGTAAGAATTTTGACAGATGTATTTTGTTCTTTGAATAAAAAGGATTTTTTATTCAAAGATTTTGTTATTGATGTTTAAATATGTTTAAGAAAATAGAGTTTCTTCTAAGGATTAATGGAAAACTCAATACTCTTGAAGTGATTATTTGAAACAAGAAGATATTTATACCGCTAAAAAACTATAGTAATCAAAATTATTTTTTTATGATGAAAATGTTTTTTTAAAGTTAGGTAAATATGAATTATTATTGTTATTTGGGAATGCCTTTTCAGTGTATGAATCAATGTAATATATTTACTTTAAAATTAGAAAACAAAATATACTCGCAACCCAAATAAAGAATTTGAACTATCAATATTATTGAGTCTACTAAATGTTTACAATTTGCTTTACTTTATAAAATATACATTTAAATAGAAATAATATAACAGTTAAATATTTTAACGTTTATTAAAGAATATTTGTACTAACAGTGTGAATGCTTTAAACTGAAATAATTATAGCACACTTCTTATTGTGACATATAGACAAATAAATGCCAGAGGAATGATATTTTAAACTTCAATTGTTAATAGTCCCATGATTGAAAACAATGGGTCATCGAATAAAGATAATATATTGGTGTAGATTATAATTACGTGTGTTGATGTGTTAATATGTCTTAAAGATTTTGTATATACTTAATGGTTGTATAAATTTTATACTATAAAATGTTTACAGGATGTTTCTTAAGTATGGTTCATATCTTTAGAATACAATTGAGGTGCTCCTTACAAAATGAGCCATACTGCCCTACTATGGAGAAAAAATGCAAAATGCGTTTTCTTGTGCTATGGTAAAGCTATGGACATTTTGTAATTCAACACAGAAATGCAGTCAAATATCTCATAAGTTAAAAAAAAACAATTAAATACCCACTGCGTTTTTATAAAAATGTAGTTTATGCTAATTTTCCAAAAATTTCTTGTTTAGCAGTTACTGCCTTTCTCCATAGTAGGGCAGCATAGTGCAAATTGTTATTTATGTAAGTACATTTATGTTTTAAATTAATATGTTGAGGAAGTAAGAGTTAATTTAGCAAGATATGACATTAAAAATATATATTTTTATGACTAATCGCTAGGCTTAAACCGCACAAGTTAGGTTTAAACAGCACAAGTCTATCCTAAGTTTTTATAATTTATATTTTTTATAATATAAAGAAGCGCCTTAATTTTTTTTAACATTTTAAGAAAAAAGTTTATATAAACATATGTACTAAAATTCTGAGATACAGGGTGTCAAAAATAATTTTTTTATTGTTAAATAGGTATTTGAATACCTTTTATATTTTTTTAAATTTTTACCACTATTTAAGTATCTCAAAATGTAAGCATTTCCAGACATGTTTATACAGGGTGTCTCAAAAGTCAAGGACAGCAGAAAAGGGGTAAATAGAGAATGGGATTCTAAGTCGAATGGAATTTGCCGTTTTTCGATCAGACGCACCATTAATTAGTTATTAATAAAATAAAGTAGCCAATCACAGGCGTGTTTTAGCAGACTGATTAGAGGTGGGAGGACTATAATGTGCAGCGTAATCTTAGAAATTCTGTATAAAATCGTTGTGTATAATTACCTTAATTATATGGTTGACATTGTCACTGTCACTGTCAGTGTTTTAGATTTTAGGTTAGTTTTACCCAGAGAACCAAGGTTTTACTTTACTTTTACTCATTAACATGAATGTTTTTTATTGTTATGTTATATGTTAGCTACTTTAAATTTGTCGCTGACGAGGACGTCGTAGGCAGGTTGAATTTAATTGTTAAAGCAGCCTTCCATAGAAATAATACTAGTATTATTTCTATGCAGCCTTCAGATGAAGTGTGTTCTAAAATAACGCGCACTGGACGTGCAGGTGTTGGGGTATCTAAAACAAAAATCGTGCAAGCCATTCACTGTAATACATCTGAATTTTAGTACTTCAGATGCTGGATGAACTTGATGCTAAGCAAGAAGGTAAAATATGATTGTTCAATGAATTTCAAAAGTAGAATTTCAACAGAGAATCTTTAGGCAGCAATTCATAATAGAAAACAAAGTAAGTAAGAGATGATGATGATTAGCAGAAAACCCAAGACTGTAGGAAAAAAAAATAACAAAAAGATAGGTAGGTACCTATTTGTCCCACACAAAAAAATAAACATTTCTACTGAACCTAAAAAACCAAAACACTGACAGTGACAGTAAATAAATTAATTTAAGGTCATTTCACATATGACATGTTCATAGCTATGGAATTTTTACAAAAGTTTGTGTTGTCCCACCTCTAATCAGTCTGCTAAAACACGCCTGTGATTGGCTACTTTATTTTATTAATAACTAATTAATGGTGCGTCTGATCGAAAAACGGCAAATTCCATTCGACTTAAAATCCCATTCTCTATTTACCCCTTTTCTGCTGTCCTTGACTTTTGAGACACCCTGTATAAACTTTTTTTCTTAAAATTTACAAAGAATCAGACCTTTCTAGCTAATTTCATGTTTCAAATGTTTGGTGGTCTAAAAATAATAATAATAATAATAGTTATTTATTGATTATCATAATTATAAAAATAACAACAATCAAAAGGCCATTGACCTAGGTCTAAAAATATTAAAAGGTGTTTTTCTTTTATTGACTTTTCGAGTAAGATTTTTGGGCATATTAAACCAAACCTTTTAGATCTGTTGTTTTTTTTAAATTGGTAAAAAAGGTAAATAAGAAATCAATTGTTAATATTAAAAGTTTTATTTAAAACAAACACTAACTTATGTATAATATTATTATTATTATTATTATTATTTTGTCCAGAAGTTATGGAATGCATGAATTAAGTAGCAAAAATAATGCAGATATATTTCATGGAATATTTGACCAGATATTACACATTGTATTATTATTCTGTTATAATTGAGGGCCTGAGAATAAAAGAGTGCACTTTACCCCTATTCTATTCTATTCTTTTCTAACATGATTCTGAGTTATTTACATTTAAAGTTAAAAAATTAAATAAATCTGTTTAAAATTTATTAGTTTTATGGTAAATGTTCGTTTACCAACTATTGTTAAACTGTTAAATGATTAAACATATAAGATAAGAATCTGCTGCAAACAAAGATATGATAACATGTAATAATAGGATAATTATCTTATTATACCTATCATACATGCTTATCTGTTAATTGATTTATAAAATTATATTTCTTATATTTTATTTATTATTTATAATATTACATACATGTATTATAAAGGTTAGTGTCATTAATTAATGAATTATATTTTGCTAATAAAGTTTTAGATTAAAAGAAGGTGGGACTATCAAATTACTTTACAATGCATATGTATAATATAATGCATCTGAGGCGGGCGTTTATTTTTATATTTTTTATTTTCATTCTTGGATTTATATTTCTTATTACAAGGGATTCTTTTTTACCTGAAGAGGATAGAAACTTAACATTGTAAGTTGAAATTTTCAAAATCCACTTAACTTTATAATATTTATTTAATCGTAGGAAAAAAATAAATACCTTTATAAAATTAGACAAAAAAAATGTTGGTTGTGTGCAGCCAAAATTGTCTGTTTTTGCTCCTGAAATAATGAAATTTGTGAAACATGTGCCCAATATTGATTGTTCCAAATCTAAGCAAGATTGGGTTAAATGTAGGGTAAGTTTTTCATAGTTTTTTTAATATTTATGGATAAGTATTGAAACTAAATAAAAACGCTTATCTTAACTTGGCTAAGGCTATATTTCTATCTCAACTTTACAATAAAAATAAGTTTTATTCCTAATTGTATAAGTAATATTACTGTAGTAGTATTGTATTTTTTTTAACTTTTTTTAAGTAAATCTTGTAAATTAACAACAAAAATACCAAGAATAAAATACAATTACAATACATTATGTAAATATTTTGATTCAGTGCCTTTAGTAATTATTTTTAACAGTGTATTTATCGCCATATTTATACAACAATAGTAGAAATTACTTTTTGCTGTTAAATATTTTTAAATAAATGTATTCAATAAATAAGATATTTAAACCATCAACCTCATAATGATCTGTCTGGTGTTAACGGCTTGTTGATAAAAATATAAATAATACAATTAATGCCAACTTATACGGTGTGATTCCGTATGATTCATGCCTAAATAAAATAAATAATATCTCTTTATCTAAAGCCTTATATCTCAATTTGTGTAGGTAAAACAAAGTTTCTTTCTGTTAAGTTACATCAAAACCCTAAATATGTTAAATTTTGTTACCTAATATTATTAACTCGTTTTTTTTCAGGAAAGTGTGTGCAAAATACAAAAATCTGTTAAACAATTATATGGACCTATAAAATGTACCTTCACTGATATTATAAGAGTTGATGATTTTAAATTGGAGGATGGCCAAACAGTTTCATCTGATGACAGTTACACATTAATAAAAAGTGATGTGGTAAGATTTTTATTATTTAGATATTACAAAAAATACCAAATCCGGAGTTCATTTTAAAAAATGTACTTGTTGTTATACTTAGTTTAACTTAAATTTATAGCAAAAAAGAAAAACAATTTTTACAATTGGTCATTGATTGAGGTCCTTCAGCCAGTAAACATATTTTATGTAACAAGAAAAAAAAACACAATTATTAAATGAATTTTATTGATTACTGTAAATTATCCCTTAATTGTAAAAGATATTCCCATATAGTCTTTCCTGGGTACTTTTTATTGCCCTGAACTTGCTGATAAAATTGGTCACTAATCTGGTGGGATTGGAGGGGTTGCTAATTGGTGGGATATTAAAAGAATTGTTTTTTTTTTTAAGTAATGAGGTTTTCTCAATTTTTATATTTTTAAGTGCTGGTTTACCTGTATAACTCTGCAAATTTTGTTGTATCTTGGCCCTGAATCTTGTTATTATATTTTTCTTTGACAGTGATGAGTGTGGATTTAAGTTTACTTTATCATCCAATTCGCAAGTATTTTACTTAGATTTTGGCTCTATTATCTATTGTTCATCTTCAGTTTCATATTGGGGTCAATCTTAGTTTGATAAAAGTGTATTAAGACTTAAGTGGGTTTGGTTTTACCAAGTCATTGTTTGTTTTTTTTTTTTAGAATAAAATTCTGAATTGACAGAACTTTTATAATTAATGAAACATTTTTTAGGTGAAAGTTTCCTGTGTGGGTTCAAGTAGGGAAAAATGGTCAGCAACTTTGATGGGAATAAGAAAGGATAAACTAATCCAGGAAACTTCCAATTGGGATGAAGTTTCCGATAATGCTTTAAAAATGAACGTTTTGATGTTTGGATTTGACTCGATATCGAGAAACAGTTTTCAACGTAAACTTCCCAAGAGTTATGATTATTTAATGAACGATTTGGAAGGTGTCGTTTTACAAGGTTACAACATTATCGGTGACGGCACTCCTCAAGCTTTAATTCCGATTTTAACGGGCAAAACCGAATTGGAATTGCCCGATACGAGGAAGAGAATGAAGAATTCGGAATTTGTGAACTCCTATCCGTTTGTGTGGAACGATTATAAGGATGCAGGATATGTCACTGGGTTTTTTGAGGATGTCGCGGAATTGGGCACGTTTACTTATCGACTTAATGGATTTAAGGCAAGTATATGGACCGCCGTTTTAGTCAATTTTATTTTTTTATTATTATTCTGCGCCGAATTAAAATTATCAACAAACATTTTAATTAAACAAACTTTTCTAAAGAAAGAAAGAAACAATTAAAATCACTTGTGCTGTGTTATTTCAATGGGAAACTCAATGAGGAACCTGTTAAAATTGTAATTAAGAGCTGGGATTTTAATTTTGACATAATCTAAAAAAAAAAAAATTTTTTAACATTAAATATGGGTTCAAAAATGCTTTGTCAAAAAGCGAATTTTTAAACTGTGATAAGGGTGAGAATTCATGGAATACTGCGGTTTTATATTAAATAATAAATGCGGCTGGTGGATTTTGGGTATACCGATATCTTAATTATTAGATATGGGACCCACACCAAATTATATGAGTTTATAATGACATTAAATAAACAGGTTCTGCGCAAGCAGAATTTAAATTGAAGTTTGCGAAAAAAAGTTAATTTTTTGCTCGGCCGTACCGGCCCCATGGCGCCCCCAATAAATATAATATAAATTTAATTGGTGAAAAGAAATATTAAAAATTTAAAATGACATAAATTCTGTATAATTTGGATTTTTTTAAATAAAATTTGTAATTTGTCGATAAACTATGGTAAATAATAAATTGCACCAATTAAATTTATATTATATTTATTTGGGGCACCATGGGGCCGGTACGGCCGAAAAGTTATCTTTTTTTCGCAAACTTCAATTTAAATTTTGCTTGAGCAGAACTTGTTTATTTTATGTCATTATAAACTCATATAAATTTGGTGTGGGTCCCATATCTAATAATTGAGATATTGGTATACCCAAAATCCACCAGCCGCCACTGCACCTAGTACATTAAAAATAACATTTTTTAGGAAACTCCTGTGGACCATTATATGAGAACATATTACGTGGCTGCTCTAAAAGAAAGAAACAAGTGGCCCAAGTTGTGTGCTGGTGATATTCCTAGACACAAAGTTATGTTAAATGCGATAAAAGATGTAAGTTACAAAAATTATGATTTATTTATTGAAACAAAATTTGTTTTTAGTTTTATTCTGTGTACAAATCGAACCCCAAATTTTTGTTTGGATTTCATGGGGAGTTATCTCATGATGACTACAATTTAGTACAAGTTGCCGATCAAGATTTAACCGAATTACTTAAAAGTCTGAAGGAATCAAACGCTTTAAATAACACCATACTTATTCTTATGGCCGATCATGGACACAGGTAATTAAAATATTAAAAATAAGATAATTTGGTGTCCAAAAATTGATTTGCAGTTTTTGTTCTTATATCTAACTAATGATTTAATTATTATTGTACCACTGAGTAAAAATTTCTCCAACAAATCACCTGCATAATTATGTTTAAATTAACAAAATGTTATTTACGAATGTTTGTTTATATTTTAGATTTTTAAATTTAAAGTTAAATTACAATATATAATAAAATACATATTTTAATAAATTAAATATGTTTAAATACCTATTATTAATAAATAATATATAAATAGGTTATAACAAATAATTTATAAATAAATTATTATTATATAATTTATAAAAATGTAATCAATTTAATAAAATATTGATTAAAACTACAATTTATAAATAAATTATTTATAAAAAATGCAATCCTAAAAATTTCTATCAAGATAATATATTATGATCTTTATTGAATTTTTATTTTTCTATTGAGTTAACCGTTTAAGAAATTTTTACTCTACTGCTACTATACATATTCAAATCGCTCAAAAAAAAATGGTTGCTGCACTATCTTTTCGAATTCGTTACTTCCGGCCCTCACAAAATGTAGTATTCGAAAAGTGCTATTTTTATGGTTTATGATTTATGATTTTTTTTAAAGATATCAACTTGTTCAATTGGCAAAATTTACAAAAACACACCTCTGAAAAATATCATGATCCTGAGAATACGTGTCTTTAACAGTTTGTGATTTTTTAATTGAATACTGTATACCTATGTGCTGTTGAATGTAAACTGCTAATGTTTGTCAGATATCTACTGCACAAATAATAAGAAGAAAAATGATATTATTGTTTTGTTTAGCCCCTCTTTGTAATAAAAAATGTATCTTAAAAATTTAAAAAAAATCCATATTTTAGGCTTGAATATGAATATAATAATAATAATATTAAATAGTAATATTATTACTATACATATTATTTAGATTTAGATGATTTGAAATAATTTTTAATGACTAATGGATTTTGCTTAAATACAATATTTAAATTTTTTTAGAATATTTTCTATTCTTTCTAACTTTTAATTTCTCTAATGTTTATTATTTTATTATATTAAACATTTTCATGATTTTATTACATTGTAGTACATCATACATTTATTTACATTAAATGTTTTTTATTTGCTTATTTTTATGTGATTATAATTATTTTTATAAAAATAAATAAACATTTATAAAACAATACCTAACAAATTATTGTGATTGTGAACATTTATAATTTTTTAGATTTGCAGAAATAAGGAACACAATCCAGGGAAAACAAGAGGAACGACTGCCGTTTTTTTCCTTTACCTTTCCCAAATGGTTTAAGGAGCACCATAAAACGGCCTACAACAATTTTGTATCCAATGTGGACAAACTCTCTACGCCACTGGATATTTACGAAACCCTAAAGAGTATTTTAAACTTGAAAAATACCGGCATAGCTGACTTAAGTCATCGTTCTATATCTCTGTTCTCAAAGGTAAGATAATATGCCTTCTTTAGCAAGGGCTTTAGTTATTAATTAAAAGTTTAAATAAAAAAAGTAATTTGTTTGGCTATGCATCAAATTATAACTAAAGCCCGGATCGATGTGCAATTGCAAATGCAAGGTTAATTTATACCAGTTTGATTATAATCATAAGTTTTTACAGTTTTTTAAACTAAATTGTACGCATAATTTTCCTTGAAGTTTACATTTAGTGTACGCAAAAAAAGTACGCCTCGTAAATGTAGCTCGAAGTAACCGATTTCAAGATATGTGTTTAAATTGTTTAGTTAATTTGTACTTAAAATTAATATTTAAGTATTAGTATTTAAGTTGGGGTGCATTAAACCATTTAAATGCTAATATCTCAAAAACTGTTACTCGCATCGAGTCTAAATGTCGCTGGTATACCTACACCTTTTTCATGTAATGTTTATGCAAAGTTTCGCAAACAGCGCCCTCTACAACCTACAATAATTCTTTTAAGAAATTTAAGTTTCCCGTCGACTGAAGGACTACGGTCAATAGCCTTTGAACTTGGTTTTAGTTCAATAAAGCATTATTATTATTAAGTTTCCCGGCCTGAAAACCCCCAAAATTAAAATTTTGTGCAAAAACGTTTGTGTTTTCCAAAGTTATTTATAACATCCGTTTTTTAGTTTTTTCAAATATCAAGAACTTTTTAGCGGTTTTCGAGCATCCGCTACAAAAAATACATATAAAGGGATAAGAAGCAGAAGGGTGCAAGTGCAAGAGTTAACTAAAGTTTTTGCTATAAACAAAAATCTGGATACTTGTTTCAATGTTTGCATTAGGTGCTTTCCTTTCATTTTTGAAGTGAGCCAAGCAAAAGTGAGATAAGCCAGGCCACTTACGCGCACTCATCTTACCTAAAATAGACCAAAGGAACGGTTGGTAAGCCTATTTTCTCTAAAAGTGACGCTTGACAGTTTAACCCTTAAGCCTGAATTATAGATTGCCTTCCTTCCTTCCTCCCGTAGTCGTGCCCGTACGGTACGGGAATCTATAACCGGCAATACGATTTAAATAAACATTTTTGACGTAATTGTCACCATTAACATTGCCCGTTATTAATTTTAATTAAACTTAACAATTATTGATAATTTAAAATATTAAAATTACTTAAAAATATGATTTTGTTCAGAAAATATTTTATTCTTTGATTTTTTTTATTACTGTAATTGCAAAATTTTATCACAAAGTATTAAAAATACCTAAACGGGAAATGTTAATGGTGACAATTACGTAATGTTCATCTTCTACGGGAGGAAGGAAGGAAGGCAATCTATAATTCAGGCTTTATGTTCTGTGGTTTAACCATTTCCCTCAACGGTTTAACGCAAAGATTAAAGACTTAACGAACAAAATGTCGAATCAAATAATACAGGTAGTTAAAAATATAAATCCAATTTAAACAATAATAAATACCTTTTTTTTTATTCTTTAATTTTATAGAATGTAGTGAATGTAATATTCAGCAGCGATTCTGAAAATACTAGTTTAATCGTATCGTATCATCGTAATCGTAAATTACTATTTAAATAGTCATACCTACAATTGTAGGTATTCTAGTCGCCGAATGAATCATTCAATTTGAAATCCGAATGAAAATATGCGATTAATAATCGCGGATTACTTAATTCGAAAATAAACGGCGATTATTAATCGCATACTTTCATTCGAATTATCAATTCGATTAAATTATTCCGATATTGAAATCCGAATGAAAGTAAGCGATTTATAATCGCCGATTATTTAATCGAATTATCATCCGATTATTGAAATAATCGTATCGGATATAATCGGTTATTGATATAATCCGATTATGCCCATCACTAATATTGTTTTAATTTTCTTCTGTTTTGTTTGATAGAAAGTGTACAACCTCACTTTTTGGCCTGCATCTATCCCCACCACCAAGTAATCAAAATTTCTCATTTGTAAGTGTGCTCCGGAGGTTGTGCTTGATCGGTAAGGGGGGAGGTAAAATTCTCACTTTGGCTTACCTGTCATTTTGCAAATGGAACGGTCTCTAAAGTGAGATAAACCAAGGTGAGGTAAGAATATCTAAGAATCGTGGCAAAAGGAAAGCACCTATTAATCAACATGCAGAACTCGTACAATTTTCACGCTATGAGAAAAAAAAAACTACTGAACTTAAAGTATTTTCTTGCTAAAATGCACTTGTACCCTTTTGCTTCTCACCCCTTCATATATTATTTTAAAATTAAACAAAATTGGGGTTAAACTGACAAAAACATAACCTTAATTATTTAATGGAGGATATAAATTTTAAAGGGTTTCTCCAAGAACACTCTAGTAATGCTCTTGGGTTCCTCATTGAGTTTAAAAAATGTTCTACTCCCAAAGGATTTGTTTTTTATGAATTTTCATGTTGAAGTGAAAAAAGGTATTGGTTTATACATCCTAATGTTTAATTTTTTATTTACACAGCAAGTTTATTTAATTTTAGTTTTTAAATTTTAAATTAAAAAAACATTATCAAATTTGTCAATTTTAAATATTTAAAACTAAAATTAAATAAACGTGCTATATGCTAAAGAAGTATCGCCAGTGGCGCCACCACATGGCCTTCATCATCATAAAATCTTTTAATAAGCAGCTGTCAAACGCGTATGTTACAAACGAGTGTTTTTGAGAATAAGGTCGGAAAATGTTAAAAATATCGCTGTGGCTCCCGTCCCGAGGCGGGACTTAAGTTCAGTCCCGATTGACGTCATAATTTTAAGATTTGTTATGTTATAATAAAATAATAATAATAATAAATTGTACCTGTATACATGTTAAGGGCACTTTAGTTACGTCATAAAACCAAACCAACCCAAACTCAACAACACAACCCAACCGACCCCCGCCCCATTGGCCCCCCCCGCCCCATTGAGCAAAAAACCCAACTAAAATGGGCAAATTTATGTTACGATAAAAATAAAACACTTTTTAACAAAGAAACAACAAATTTATAAAATAAAAAAAATAAAAAAAGTTTGACAACTTCTAGTAGAATCGAACCCGGTACCTCTCGCATGCCAAGCGAACGCCCTACCATCTAAGCCATCCAGCTTGACACCAATTATAAAAGCTCGGGGAATAAAAACGGATTTACAGTGTGTGACGTCAATCGGGACTAAACTTAAGTCCCGCCTCGGGACGGGAGCCACATCGTAAAAATATCAAGAAAAAATAAACGTGGAACGATTTGTTGCGCTGATGGTTGTTTTTAGAATGGAAATCCTGGTTTGAGTTTTTGCTGGAATTCCCAATAAACAGTGGGAATCCAAATAAATATTAAATATATTTTGTATTTTACTATTTCAAAACAGTTGTTTAGAGGACTTATATATAAAAATGTACGATTTTAAGGTTATGTTTGCATAACTATTATTTTGTGTTGGATTTCTTAAAAATGTCCAAACTTAAATGTAAATTATAATAGGTAAAGTTAATTTTGCACCAGCAAATATGTACCGAATTTGATCCTTTGGCAAAACATGAAAATGCAATTTCCGATTAGTTTTTGAATTACATTTATAATTAAAAACACAGTAATTTACTATCATGACTTAGAAAATAATAAAATTCGTTTATTCGCTCGTGCCTGAAAAAAGTATGGTCACAAGCGGATAAACGAATTTAATTTTTTTTCTTGAAAATTAAGCAAGAAAGGGAAACATTGCAAAAGACAAATTATAATTAATTATAATATCAAACTCATGAAAAATCAGTGGCTTGACCATACTTTAACATTAACCATGGTATCTCAAAAACAAAACTTTAAAGCATAGAGTTCATGTAAACTTTTCTTCTTATTTTTGCAAGTTATATTGATTATTACATTAAAATCTGAGACACCCTGTATAATGATATTTTTTTATATAATTTTAAATAATAATTTCTAAATAAAAAATATAAAATTATAAATTTTATATTGACAGTATAATGGTGTTTTACCATTGAGTAAGATGATTTACTCAATGGTTTTACTGTTGATTTTTAAGGTTAAGTGGAAGAACAATCTCTGTTTAAACTTCGCCTATTAAATAGGGTGGGTTGAAATCAAAATGTTTGTTTTTTTTTCTTAGCATGGGGGTAAAAAATTTTTCAAAAGAAAACATTTTTTTTACTCAACATCTTGAGGTGGCCCACTCGTTTTTTAAATAAATATTTAATCAAATGGGGTAGTTCCAACGGGAAATTCTTTTTTTCGTTCTAGAATCTGTGGGGTGTCCCCTTAAAAGCCAATTGGAAGTCAAAAGTTGAAAAAGTTTTTTTCCCATTGTTTTTGTAATTTAAGTAAAAAATTTAAAAATGAAATGCACTTTCTTTTGTATTAGAATGAAAGTTGTTTGAAAAAAAATCACATTATACAATTTTTACATGCTTTCCATGATTTAGGACCAAAAAAAAGAATTTCCCGTTGGAACTACCCCATTTGATTAAATATTTATTTAAAAAACGAGTGGGCCACCTCAAGATGTTGAGTAATTTTTTTTTTCTTTATAAAAATAATCTTTTTTTATAAGGTGCAAATTCTACCCCCATGCTAAGAAAAAAAAACATTTTGTTTTCAACCCACCCTACTATTAAAGTCGTTTATTATTATTATTAAAATTATTATATTATTAAAATTGAATTCACTTGTATTTCCATAATAAAGGAATAATAATTATTATGACTAACATATCCCCAATTACATTTTTCAATAATTATAGTTTATTTATATGGTCACAAAACTTTTGCATAGGGTTTTAAAATTTTCGGATAAATTGAGCCGGTGAAAAAAATGGACAAATTGGAAAAATTTTTCATTTTATTTAAAGGGTAATACGGAAAAAAATGCAAAAGTAAATTTTCCTGAAAATTTACAAATTTTTACGGATAATATCTGTACACTGATATCAAGAAAAAAGTGAATTTCCGACGCTGATTATTTTCATATAATAATTATTCCTTTTAGTAAGAATATTGTGCGGGGCGGCATAAATAACATATTCGGTTTAATTTGAGACATCGATTTTTAAAATTAGAATTTTGAAATTAAACATTATAAATCATTCATTATTTTGTAATTGGATATTTTTAATTTAACTCCCTTTTACTAAAAGGACTCAACTGACAGTATATTGTAATGGACACGATATATGGGGCAGTTAATTTTTAACCTTTGGTAGTTTAAATTTTTAAGCTTTACGAAATATGAGATCAAATTTTAAATATTTGTTTTTAAATTGTATTAAATGTTAGGTATAAGTTTTCACATTATAATTCGATACACTCTTTATTTTCTTTATTATGAGTCAGACAGTATGCTCAAATGGACCTTTTGACGTTTCGTCATCAGAAAATGTATCATCATAAAGATCAATCAAATAGTTCAAAGCACTCTAGATTGATCTTTATGATGATGCATTTTCTGATGTCAAAACGTCGAAAGGTCAATTTGAGAATGCTGTTAAAATCAGAATTTACTCAGGATTCTAAATATGTAAAAATAAATAGGGCGTTCCATTTAAAAATCGAAAGTTGATATCATTTCCGGTGAAACCGGAAGTTCAAAAAAATCATTTTGTACTCTTATAAGTGGCATTTTATATCCTAATTAACCATGCTAAATTTCATGTGTATATCTTTATAAATAAAAAAGTTACAGAGGTGCGCCTATTCTCAGATACACTCGGTATATATATATATACATATATATATATATATATATATATATATATATATATATATATATATATATATATATATATATATATATATTAGGGTGTCCCAAAAAAAAGAATATTTTTTTTCTTCTCGTCTCTTGTGAAAATATGTTGGTTTGTCATGTTTTAAGAGCCCTGTCAAAAGATCAGCACCATTAAAAAATTTTTAGGGGTCGCTCAAGATTTTTAAAAATTACCAAAATTGTCAAAAATTGGATTTTTTTTTATTTAAATTTTTTTTCTCTTTCCGATATTATTTTTTAATTTAAAAATAATAATGATTCTGAAAATTTCAAATCGATATTTTAATTTCTAAAGGTCGCTCAAGATTTTTTTAACTTTCAAAGTAGAGTATTTTGAATGTTTTCGAGCGACCTCTGAATATAAATATCAACGAACTTTTAGCGACCTTTAGAAATCAAAATATTGATTTGAAATTTACAGAATTTTTATTATTTTCAACCTAAAAAATAATATCGAGACGAGAAAAAGAATTAAAATAAAACAAAAATTCAATTTTTGACCATTTTGAAAATGTTTAAAAATCTTGAGCGACCCCTACAAAATTTTTAATCGAGCTGATATTTTGAAAGGGCTCTCACAGCATGATAAACTAACATATTTTTACAAGAGACAAGAAAAAAAATATATTCTTTTTTTTTGGGACACCCTAATATATATATATATATATATTTAGTGATATTTAGTGATATTTAGTGACTTAACCAGCAAACATGTTTAGATACCGGCCGAGAGGAACTGCGCGGACGCGTACATCGAGCCGCATTGGTGCGCATGCCTGGAATGGGAGAAGGTGTCGGTGTCCGAGCCGATAGTCGAACGCTTGTCGGCCGTGTTCGTGAAAACGCTGAACGACTACACATACGATCACGCGAACGTGTGCGAGCGGCTCGCCATCGCCGACATCCTGTGGGTGACGAAGCTGAAGCCGAACGAGAAGCTGGTCACGTTCAAGAAGAACGCCGATCGAGACGGTTTCGTCGGCGAGTTTAGCGCCAAGATGGACATCAAATTCGACATGTACCAGATCAAGGTAAATATTGTTGCTATTTAAATTACTAGTAATGCCACGTGAAATCTGACATCTGCATCTTAAAGTTTTAAGTATTTAAGTACTTAACATTTTTTGACATACAAGCGCTATTTGTGTAGGTTACAGTGACTTAAAAGAATTATTTCGATAAAAATGTAAATAGGTAAATATAATTTTCGTGTGTTTATTTTTATTGAACTTAAACGTAAATTTGGGCACGTTTAATAAAAAAATGACCATAATTTAACTCGATCAGCAACTTTTGCGAAACCCACTAAAGTGTTTTTTGACAGTAACTTAAAAGAATTATTTCGATAAAAATGTAAATAGGTAAATAAAATTTACGTGTGTTTATTTTTATTCGACTTGGTAAATTTGGGCACATTGAATAAAAAAATGACCATAATTTAACTTAATCAGCAACTTTTGCCAAACCAACTAAAGTGTTTTTTTGACAAAGGAGCCATTCCACGCATAACGGATAGGACAGTTGCCGTGTTTTTATTTACAAAATAATATTGTTCTATTATATTACCAATGTCAATAGTTCTAAACTAAAGCTGTTTAACAAGGTTTTTATTTGGAAAAATTAGGTATCGTGGTTGACTGTTTAATTCCTTAAAAACTAATAATTTAAAGCGTAACGGACGGGACTTTGTAATAGACAGAAATGTCACTTTACATTCGTGTTTTGCCTTTCCAATGAAAAGATTCATTTTCTAAGCAACGATGCTTCATGAAAAGTGACTTTTACATAGTGGTCGTAGAAAAAAACATCTTCAATGGCGCCTCTTTAATAGGCTGTACTTCCCTTACCAGCTATTATAAAACGAACAATTAACATGTCCATTGTAAGTCTTATGAAACTGCGTCTTGTCAAAAATATTATTTATAAAGGTTCCTAAACGCTATGACATAGCCTATGTAGTTTACATTTTTATAAAATAATCACATAACATCGTTTTTTGGTCATAAACTCTAAAATATCTAATAAAAAATAATTAATTTATAATTGCGTCGCAATTAACAATGCATTATTTTTTATAATAATCACAATTAAGTTAATTGAATTAAGAATTAAGTAATTAATTAATTTATTGTGGTAGTCGCAATTAACAATTAATTAATTGTTAATCTTTAATTGTACAAACAATTTAATTTTGCCCTTCACACCTACACCTACCACCTTTACACCAATGACTATATTAATAATATTTTTCTACTACTTTACTGGAAAACTTAATTTTCCACACCCGGGCGAGGGAGAAAAATGCCTCTTTTAACAATTTTACATTAGAAAGAGATTTTGTACCTTGTTTAGCCCTATTTAATTTTGTAGGAAAAAGATTTTCTCCGCGCTTGTCCAATCATTCTTTGAACAAATTATATTCATTTTCATATCGCTCTTTCGATTTTAAAGGAAGGAAATTAATAGCAACTATTTTTGCCTCTTCAGCAAGATCTTGTGGCAGGTCTTCTTCGTTAGAACTCATTTTCAAAACGTAGGAAGAATTTCAAATTTAAGATAAACATTCTGACAGCTCATAACAACTGTTATGTTTGTATTACCAAAAATTCCATAGCAACAAATCGTTGTCAACATAACGTCGGCGACGCAACACCTACTTAATATTTTATCCCCATACCGGATTAGTAAAAGGAACCGGAACGCTTAAAATGTCTTAAAACCGTTAAAAGGTAATAGAAAAAACTATATACATACCTCAGGAGGAAAATCCGTTTCCTTCCTTGAATATTTAATGCCCTTCGCTTCGGGCATCAAACTATTCGCGGGAGGAAAAGCACTATTTTCCTCCCATGGTACGTAAATAGCTAGTACAAACAATTTATTTTTTTACTAAAATAAACCAAAATGTATAAAATTAACTAATAAATAAATATTGATATCCTGTAGCTAAAACTAACAGTTTATAGTCGCGGCCAAATCTGTATGGGTGCACGTCATCAACGGCATATGACGTCAGCGTTAAGGTCTATTCATACGTGCCCAGACACAATCTAACGCTCGAGTATTGTTGACTGTTTATAGCGGTGGGGGCTGTTATTAAGATGGAATTATAACGTCCTTCTTATAATCTTCTGCACTAACTAATTAGGAGTTTGTTACAGGCAAATTTTTATTAAATGTGTTTAAAGAGAAAACAAACGAAGTTTATTACATTTTTATTACATATGCACATAACAAAAAAAATACTAAATTATCAGAAACACAAAAATAATAAATTACCAGTCGTCCTTGTCATCAGAGCAAACCAGGTCAGAATTGAAGTCTGATTATTTCCCCAAATTTATTATTAAGGGCGCAATGTCTTCGAAATCTAATAACGACTAGTTGCCAACAAGCCTTATATCATTGTTTGCACAATCTAGGGATAGAATCTTATAAACATAATGTATAATATTATTTATAATAATTTGCAACAAACGATGCTTCCGGACGAAATGTCACAATTACAAAAATACGTCAAATATAAAATGACAGCGACCCATCAATAATATTGAACGGTGCGCGCCAGCCTTAAGCTATTACCAACTGGCACACACAAAAATTACTAAGTGAATGGTTTTATTTTGATAATTTCGTGAAAAAACGTTTTAAAACAAGGAAATTGTTACAGTTCTTTGTAAACAATACGCAAATGAATGATTTCTTTTTAATAACACATCAGAATTAGGCCTTAAAAAAACAATTTTAACGGCAGTAACTTTACAATTCAAAGTTGGTAATGCTGACGTCATTATATCTCATTGATGACGTGCACCCATATAGATTTGGCCGTGACTATAGATAAACTATTGACATCATGGGCGCCGACAAAAAATATTTCAGGGGGTGCACAAAAATTCCCTGCTGAGAATTCCCTAATCAAAACTTGATGAGATAAGATTTGATCAGGTTTTAAATTCCCGATCAGATTCGATCAGTTTTTTTCTGCAGGGTTACGTGCAATTTCAAGTATAACACCTTGCCCCCATGCCGACGCCCATGATTTTCATATATGTGGTCAGTTGGCTCAAATTAATCATTAACATTGACAAATTGCAGATAAACATAAACTTCTTAATTTTTTGTTACATGGTGTTTTCAATGAATTTTAGGTGATGTTGAAGCCGGGAAATTCTCTTTTCGAAGCCAGCTTCACGCACCACAAGGCCGACGATAGAATTGATTTGAAGCTGAGCGACGTGAGCAGGATCAATATGTACGGAAGACAAGCCAGGTGTATCGAGGACGATTTTCCCAATTTGAGGAAGTATTGTTATTGTAAGGACGATATTCCTTGAACATAACACCACGCGTTTTAAAATTGTTGATTTGTTTAATAAATTAGAGCGGCTTATTTATACGGAATTTGACGACAAAAATTTGTTGGCAAATACTTGTTGAAACCAAACAGTTTAAGGGAAATTCTGGATGTTTAAATTATTCAAATAATGATTGAAAATTTTTGAAAGATTTGTTTTTTATCCAATATTCGATTATTACAAATTTGAATTTTCTGAGTAATTTAATCCTTTCTAATCGAAGTTCCTACACCCCTCTTTAAATTTTATAACAAGCGCCAATTTATTAGTATTTTTGGTGATAGTGTCAATATGCTATTATAAAATAAACATTTTAACTAGGCCGTGAATTGGCAATTGATTTAGTTTATTTTATGCAGAAAATCATGTTACTTTTTTTTAGGAAAAAGATTTTTTTTAACCAAACTAAAAACAAACAGATTTTTAAACCCTGTAATACAGGGCCTGTATTGGTGCCTATTTTTCTAGTCAAAACTTATAAAAAATATAAATTTACATTCCAGCATAACACTTGCACAATACCTAATATTTATTTTTATACTTGCGATCCAACATATCCCAACATTAAAAATTATCAAAAGTTAAAACAATGTTTTGCGCATGAGTACTTATGGTATTGATTTGTTATAAGTTTTACATAGGTATGCCATTTTTATTTGGTATTTTTTTACAATGACTAGTCGACACTAATTTTGTCACACAATTTAGTATGTAAGTGTTAATATTTTTTATAATAAATTATTTTTTAAAAATTCACTTAACAATATTTTTTTATTTATTTTAATTCCATATTTTTGTGTTTTTGTTAAATGTTTTAAATTAATTATAATTATTTACGTTAAAAAACAATTCAACACTTATTTTGTCACGCTCCAGGGGGAAGACGGTAGGTCGGACAATTTGTGACAGTGTGACGAGGGGTCATTAAGTCCGTGATGTCGTGTTTGATTCAAATTTTCGGATAAAATTTGTGTTTGTGACGTCACAAGAGAGCGGAAGTAGCACGTTTTGTGACGTGTAACGACGAGTGTTGCCAGTCTAGTATAATTGTACTACATTTAGTACTTTTTATATAAATTCTGTACTTTAGTACTCTTGAATCGAAATGTAGTACTTTTTTGAATTATTGTCCTATTGGCTCATTTTTAACTGCCGCAGAATCCGAATTAGTTTAAAAACAACAAGAAGTTTTTCAGATAGGGGATTTTTGCCTTTAATGTATTAATTTTTTAAAATTACCATTAATCTATGAAAATGTATAATTTTTTGAGATAATTTAGAGGACATATGTAAGTTACTTTTAAACAAAAAAAATCATGATTGTCTATCCCAAGGTCTGTTTTACTTTGCTCAATTATTACTATTATTGTTATTTCATTGAAAAGGGCCTAATAAAACATATTACTGATTATTTGCATTTATTGCATAATTAGAAAGTCTTGAAACGTAAAACAAATAATTTTAGATTGCCTAAAGTACAAAATTAAAATTTTGTAAATAATGAAATTGATTTTTAGATTATTTTTAAACAATTTATGAAAGTAACAATGGTAAAATGGCAAAAAAAAGAAACAAAATAAAACTCAGATAATTGGGTTTTCGGTATTCAAAAATTGCAAATCATCACTGAAATCTTTTTTTTGCCATTTTCAATGAAATAAAAAAGACCTTAGGATGGTCATACATAAATTCCTTTTTTGTTTAAAAGTACCTTATTTACCCTTTATTTCCTCAAAAATTAGAATTCTTATTGATATTTCATTGAAAAGGGCCTAATAAAACATATTACTGATTATTTGCATTTATTGTATAATTAGAAAGTCTTGAAACGTAAAACAAATAGTTTTAGATTGTCTAAAGTATAAAATTAAAATTTTGTAAATATTGAAATTGATTTTTAGATTATTTTTAAACAATTTATGAAAGTAACAATGGTAAAATGGCAAAAAAAAGAAACAAAATAAAACTCAGATAATTGGGTTTTCGGTATTCAAAAATTGCAAATCATCACTGATATCTTTTTTTTGCCATTTTCAATGAAATAAAAAAGACCTTAGGATGGTCATACATAAATTCCTTTTTTGTTTAAAAGTACCTTATTTCCCCTTTATTTCCTCAAAAATTAGAATTCTTCATTGATTGTTAATTATTTTTAAAAAATTATTACGTTATAAAGCAAAAATCCCCTACAAGGAAAACTGACTGAGTAATAATCGAGCGAAAAAAAAGACTAAGATGAAAATAAATAATTTGTTTAAAAGTAACTTATGTCCTAATAGGACGTCCTATACATTTTTTCAAAAAGCTTAAGCCCCCCCGCCCCCGAAAATCTGACCTCTGCGCATGTTTTTGTGGTTTTTTTAGTGTTTACCTTAATAAAGCTTACCCTCAGCTGCACAGAGAAAAGTAAATAATTAATTTAAGAAAATGCATTTATTTCAATTGGGGTTTCTTGTAAGGAGTAAATTTTTTTTATTTGTAGTAACTTCTCGTTTACTATAACAGAATACTATTATTTTGTTTTAAATCGTAAGTTTCTTAAAAACAACTTATTGTTGTGATTTATTCCAAAGAAATATCTTTAGATCCAAGTTATTTGGATTTAGTTTTCATGAATGTTTAATACAAGTAGGTATATGCTATCCTATTTTAACAAAATAATAACATTGGATAAATATAATTAACGTAAATACGTAATGTGTTTAAAAATACTTACTCTAAATAAATGTTTTGTTTCTAAGCCAACCAAAGACTAAGCTCTGAAGCCAACTAACTTAATTCAACTAAACCTGGTATAAAAACTCAACTACCTAAATAATTATTAACTATAGTTTTTATAAATATAAGTTTAAAAAGGTCAAGTAAATGTAACTTGTCCACCAAATAAAGATCTTGTACACATCAAAATAAAGGATTTATTTAAGACAAGCCAAATTTATTAAAATTAAGACATTACTTTTCTCCGTCAAGCACCTCACAAACCATAACCCTGGATCCGCCACTGGCGATACCTACTAAAGAGAAGACTGTTCTTTGTTGTTTGATGTGTATTTCTGTATTTAATGGTTGATGTTCAAATTTTACATTTTCTTTAGTTTGCTTTGCTATTCCGTTGTGGCGTGTGATATAATAAATTAGAATTTTCAATAAGTGTACTTTAATATACACCGTGAGCAAAGTTATCTGCTCACCATTCTAACTACGTTATTATTGGAGCTACAAATTCGGTTAAATTAGCAAATTGGTGGCATTTTTTATTTTGATTAAAAAGGCATAAACTGAACGTCGAGTTTTCGAAATATTCACAAAAACAGCGTTTTATTAATGGGACACCCTATATATTACACATATTTTAAAAATAATTTAATTTGAAACAAAAAATTAGTATTGCATAACTACCCTTAACTTAAAAATTAACAATTAATACGCACTTGAACTTTCTGATGGTTGTTGAAATAATCAAATTATTACTTCATTTTAACAACAATCAAGTTTAAGTGCTTATTAATTGTCTATTTTTAGTTTAGGGTATGCAATATTATTATTATTTTGTGTTCCAAATTAAATTGTTCTTTAAAATATACAGGGTGTCCATTAAAAAAATTTAATTTTAGTGAATATTTCGGTAACCCGACGTTCAATTTTTTTCTGTTTTCACCATTTTAATCAAAAGAAACAATGCCACCAATTTAACCGATCTTGTAGCTCCAATAGTAACAGAGTTAGAATATTCTATGGTTGCAATGGTAGACATATAACTTTAGGAAACGAACAAAATATGTTTGTTTTACCTCTTTTTACATAAAACTTGGGAACACTGGTGACGGCTAGGAAAAATGGCGTGACGTAATCACATACTATAAAGGTAGACGTAATATCGTCCCAATTATCACAGGGACGATATGTGAACGGCAAAAATAACAATTAATAAAACTATAAAATTGATTATTTTTTTAATTAACGGCTAAAATATGACAATATTTCAAATAATTAGGTAACATCAATATTTTTAACTGTTGTTGAAGATTGAAAAAAAAACAAAATAATAATAAATGCAAGGCAAATATTGGAAAAGAATTATGTATTTGAGCTAAAAATATGAGCTAAAAATGTAACATCTAAATATGTGTTGTATCATTATTCTACAAATGGTACAAGGCACATATTTAGATGTTAAATTTTTAGCTCATATTTAGATACACAGGTTAATAAAAACTTAAAAAAAAATAAAATCATAACAAACTTTTTATAATAGAAACATTAAAATTGATATCATTTACATTTTTATTATAATACCCAACTGGACTTGATCTAGTTAAATCAAGTGTTCCTTCCTTTAAACAGCAGGATTTCTTTTGAAGAAGCCATCCATGATTATATTCAATTGATACCTCATAAAAATAGGAACATAGGTCTTTGGAGCAAACCAATTCAGCATTCCAATTAAAGTTATATTTGTTGGATGTATTTCTATAGTATGTTATTTTAAATATTTTTGAATCAAAAATAGTCCAATAAATTAAAAGTGCACTGTTTAGTGTAGATTTTGGTTCATTTGTAATTTGCTTATTCCCATGAACTTTTTTTAAATGTTTTAAAATAAATTCATAAGTTCCAGTTTCAGGACATTCCATTGGACACTTGTATGTTTGCATGGAACACAATTGTTCATGTTTGGTTATTTCACTTTCAATATCATATTCTTTGCAACCAAGTTTATTATATCGGCACGGATACCTAAACTTTGTTGTCAAACCTTCTATCAAGTAATTTCTTGCTTTAATCCATTGTGATTGGCAAGTGGGACATTGCTGTACCTCATCATGACACAGTATGCAAATACTATGTCCATTATTGCACAGATAAATTGGTGGTCTAAAGACATTCATACAAACAGGGCATTCCAATAGTTTTAAAGTGTTTTCATCGATATCTTTTGGATTTAGATTATATTCATTTATAATTGTATTATTTTCGTCTGCCAAATTTTTTAATAACTCTATATCCACCCCGGTTGCGTTAGGGTTATTATTTAGGTTTGATTCATTATAAATACTGTTTAGTTTAGTGAGGGTACCTACAGTTTTTGTGAATGTTTTTGTGAATAGTTCTATTTCTTTACTTTTGTGTGTTACATTATATTCAACATTGTCCTCAAATTGTTCAATGGGATTCAAAGCATAGTAAAATTTGTTATCAATTATTGAAGTCTTTAAAAGACACTTATTGTGGTCCGCATTCAATAGTTTTATGCTAAACGATTCAGACAGATTTGTCTCCACTTTAAAAATATTATTTTGGCTTTTGATGACATGCTTGTTATGATCTGTTGCTAAATGATCGAATATTTCCTGATTAGTTCCATTCCATTTGCAACCTTCATAGTTCATCATCGGACACGATTTTGTTTTAAATTCGCAACTATTAATGTGGTTGGAAAAATTTTTGCATGTTAGTTTTTTCACGCATCCCTTTGATTCGTATTTGCAAGGCAAAATTAATTGAGTTAATACGAAGAAAAGGGCGTGATTCAGTTCGGATCTAGATTTTATTTCTTCTTGGCATATTTCATCATGGCATTTCGAACACACATTTCCCTTTCCAACAACCAAAAATATTCTGGACGTGCAAATCTCATCGCAAATTTGGCAATTAAAGATTTTCTCTTTCAAGAGAGTATTCGTAAAATTGATTAAAACCTCGTTTTCCATTATGCCTAAAATCATTTATCAATTGATAAAAACAAATACCTACATGTTTTATAAAAATTGAAGTCCAAAAATGCTTTATCTACAAGAACATGTTTATTGTTAAAAACAATATATGTATACTTAAAAATGATATTTTATCCTTTAATATTGCAGATAGGGCATTTTTTGCTTAACAAGACAGCTGGACTTATACCCCTTTAATTAATTCCACGGTGGAACCACCAGGGTTTATAATAAAAAAACTTTTTTAGAACTACGAAAAAATGTAATTACAAATAATTTACATATGAATCCTTTACTATCAAAACCCCTTAAATCTGTTTTGATGAAAAATGGGATACATGCTTAAAAATATTCCTACCTATCAACGTGTGCATTTAAATGGTTTCAAAGCCATCAAATATTTATTTAAAAAATGTATATATAATGTGCATTGATAGATTGAAATTTTTGCATAGTTCTGATTTTTCATCAAAACGGATTTAAGGGGTTTTGATCAGGGTTCCCTCTTTTAAAACCATTTAAAATTCCCTGACTTTTCCAGGTTTTCCCTGACCAAAGTCCCTATAATTCCAGATAAATAAAAGAAAGACATAAAGACAATTATCTCCCAAAATAGTGTCCCATCAGAATTATGTTAAGTCAAAAATAGCGTTTATTTTTGTTAATATTTATTTAAAAATTAAATATTATAATAAAAATTAAAATAAAATTTTAATAAAAACTGTTTAAAATAAAATAGATTCTTTGGTACAAACATAAAAAACATTCTTTGGTATAGGTACATTTATACAAATATACCATATTCATCAAAGCAATGCACAACAAACTTTAACAATTTAAAATTAATTAATTGTTTAATTATTGTTAATTGTTAGTTTGTTTATCAGGTGCATTGGTTTGCGATTTTTTAGTGTGTAAAATTTTTTTGTGTAAAATCCTTGATAATTACCGCCGTTACGGCGGCGCCGTACGAAAACAATTTTTGACGATACCAGTGTTGCCAATACGGCGACTTTCAACGAAAAAGGGTCAGAAAACAAGCCGTTTTATAAATTTCCCTGACTTTCACCATAATATTAACAAATTCCCTGACTTTTGCGCTGACTTTCAAAATTCCCTGACTTTTCCCTGATTTTATTGGACTTAAACGGATTCCCTGACTATTCCAGGTTTTCAAGGATTTCCAGGTGAGAGGGAACCCTGTTGATAATAGGGGATTCATATCATAGTTATTGCTTTTGGTAATCTACTTTGAGTAAAACAAGCGGTATTTATAAGTAGGGATGCACCGGAATTCCGGCGGTACCACTAAATCCGGCCGATCCGGCCAGTTGGCCGGAACTACCGTTCCGGCCGGATCGCTTTCCGGCCGGAATTTTCGGAAGTTTTTGGAAATGTTTAAGTTTTAAATTTTTAATATAATTTAAATTCAAATATATGCAAAAATAGAGAAAATTATTTTAAGTTTTTTTCTAATTGGTGCCTACTTACCCATTGTTAGTCGTTAATTAATCACAAATAATTTTTTTTTGAACAAAATATATTTTCTTTCCAAAAATTACAAAACATAAATAATAACTGAAAACATTATTAACAGCCAAATTCTAACAGCAAAAATAACAGCCTATACAGTTTACATGAAAAATTATTGGCTGCTATTCTCCAATTGAATGAGTAGAATTGTTTAAATTTTGTTAACGCTAATTAAAAATTAATATTTAAATAAACAGTAATTTCTACCTAGGTAAAATTAATTGTAATAAACACTCTGCATACTGTAGCTATAGCTATAGTTTAAAAAAAAGTAAAAATAAATCAGCCTCAATATTTTCAATGTTTTACGTATAAAGATAGGCATGCACATACATTTTAAATTTAGGTCCCGATCCGGCCGGAATTCCGGCGATCCGGTCCGGCCAGCGGCCGAAATTCCGGTTCCGGCCGGATCGGCAAAATACCCGATCCGGTGCATCCCTATTTATAAGCGTTGATGAAGAACTCTACTTAAGCGATGATAAAAGATAAAAAACCTACAAGTTAAACGCTCTTTGCGTGTATCAATCCATAAAAAGCCTTATTTTAAGGCAAAATAATAACTTTTCCTCACGATAATCATTATCGGATAATGCCATTGTTTTAGAGATTGTAGCTTATGATAGGAAATTTGTGCTACCCTAAATATCGTCGAAAATTTGCGCCATCTATGTTAATTTTGAGTATTTTATTAGAACGTTTTTAAAAACCTCGAGACCCGGAGATCTGAAGATTTTATTTTAAACTTGGAGCAAATACCAAAACAAGGCAGACCCATGGGTCAAACTCGGATATCTGGCAACCCTAGTTCCCTGCATAAACGTTATAATGTTCTGGGAATTCCCCATAATAAACTTGTGCTAAAATTTATCTTTAAAATACCAATAAAAATAAATTTTGTCTCTGGGGGATTCCCAGAACATTATAACATTTATACAGGGCACTAGGGTTGCCAGATATCCGAGTTTGACCCATGGGTCTGCCTTGTTTTGATAACTGCTCCAAGTTTAAAATAAAATCTCCAGGCTTCGGGTTTCGCAATAAAATCTTCGGGTTCTCAGGTAAACAATAAAAATAATATATGAGTAATTCTATATATACAGTGTGACCACGGCGTTCTCTATAGAGAACGCCGTGGTGTGACCCATTTGTTTGCGACTCGCCCATGTAAAATCTTTATTTATTGTGCGATTTTAACCGGATTTGTTTTAAAGTGTAGATCTTGATAAACTGTATTTTTGTAGCAAAATACGCCATATTAATACAAAATACAAGGCCTACTATGTCAGTTTTTAAGAGTAAATTTTTAAAAATTCATATTGGCGATTTTTTTAAACAAAATATAAGCACGGCACTGGATTCACCACCCCTCAAAACTACCCTATACTAAATTTTATTGAAAAATTTTAAGAAAAAAAATGCACAAAAATAACTACAAAAATGTATTTTGTCAAGTTATCCATGAAAAAAACATTGAAATAAAATTAAACTAATAATAACATGGTACCATTACTATAAGTTTAATTTTATTTCAATGTTTTTTCATGGATAACTTAACAAAATAAATTTTTGTAGTTATTATTCTGCATTTTTTTCTTAAAAATTTTTAATAAAATTTAGTTTTGGGTAGTTTTGAGGGGTGGTGAATCCAGTGCCGTGTTTAGATTTTGTTTAAAAAAATCGCTAATATGAATTCTTAAAAATTTACTCTTAAAAACTGACATATGTAGTAGGCCTTGTATTTTGTAAAAATATGGCGTTTTTTGCTTCAAAAAAACAGTTTATCAAGATCTACAGTTTAAAACAAATCCGGTTAAAATCGCACAATAAATAAAGATTTTACAGGGGTGAGTCGCAAACAAATGGTTCACACTTTATATATACAGGGTGTTTACGGTCTAGGGGTCGAAAATTGAACCGGCGGTGTAAGGTAATAAAGTAATGGTAGATTTGTTGGAATTTTGAAAAAAAAATCAATTATAAAAAAGTTATTAAAATTTAAATTTATTCAAAGTTTTGATACAACTTTTGAGGGTCATTGGTTTGATACGGGTGGAGACTTAAATAAAAAAACTGACAACAAAACGTTTCTTAAACAATAAAGAATAATGTCATGGATTTGAATACTTCAAAAAAAACTTTCTAATTCCGTCAAAAAACTGAATTAATTTTGCAATGGCTCATGTTTATTCTAATAACGAATTAGTGGATATGATAATGGTGTACGGGGAAGCACAAGGTAATGCTGAAGAAGCAAGTCGAATTTACGCTAATAAATTCCCAAATCGCTTTCACCCCGCGCCTCGGAGATTTTTTAACGTAACGCAGCGAGCCCGCGATACCGGGGAGCTCCAACCCCATTATGGTCGTGATGGGGGCCCTGATAGGTTGCAAAGAATTTTGAACGCAGAGGAACAAGTACCTACTGCAACTGGTAGCAGAGGACCCATCACGAAGCACTAGGAGCATTGGTCGTCAGTTACGAGTATCAAATAGGGTAGTTTGGCGCACCCTCAATGAAGACCTGCAGCACCCTTATCACTTTCAAAGAGTGCAGGCTTTAAATCCTGACGACCCCGAAAGGAGAATCGAGTTCTGCCAGTGGATTCTCCAACAAAATGAGGCTAATCCTAATTTTGTTGACGAAATTTTGTTCACTGACGAATGTACATTTACCAGAAATGGTATTTTTAATTTTCATAATTACCACCAATGGTCCGCAGAGAACCCTCATGCCATCAGACGTACCAATTTTCAGCAAAGATTTTCCATTAATTTTTGGGGTGGAATAGTAAATGGATGCCTGCTAGGCCTCTATGAACTCCCACAAAGAATGAACGGCCTCGAATACCTGAATTTCCTCCAACATGGCTTAGAACCGCTTGTGGATGACGTCGTACCTCTGGCAATCCGGCAAAGAATGTTTTTCATGCATGACGGTGCTCCATGTCACTACCTCGAAGCAGTCCGTGCGTTTTTGGATCACGAGTTTCCGTATCGTTGGATTGGGCGTGGGGGACCAATTGCTTGGCCACCAAGAAGCCCTGATTTAAATCCGATGGATTTTTATGTATGGGGCTTTCTAAAAAACTTAATCTATCGGCCAGGATTGCCAGAGGTGCAAGACGTCAATGAGCTTCGTCAAAGGGTCCACGAGGCTACAGAACAGTTACGAGAAGGTGGTGCTATGAGGCAAGCTTGCCAATCGCTGTTGAGACGCGCACGACTGTGCTTAAACTGCAACGGAGGAAACTTCGAACATTTGCTTTAATAATGTAGTTCCAAAATAAAAAGCTTGAATTAAAGAGTGTTTTATTATTTATTAATGCGATTTTACTTTTTCAATTTTCAATCGTAAACACCCTGTATAACAGATTTTTTGGCAATTACATAACATCTGCGTTCAAAATTCTTTGCAACCTATCAGGGCCCCCATCACGACCATAATGGGGTTGGAGCTCCCCGGTATCGCGGGCTCGCTGCGTTACGTTAAAAAATCTCCGAGGCGCGGGGTGAAAGCGATTTGGGAATTTATTAGCGTAAATTCGACTTGCTTCTTCAGCATTACCTTGTGCTTCCCCGTACACCATTATCATATCCACTAATTCGTTATTAGAATAAACATGAGCCATTGCAAAATTAATTCAGTTTTTTGACGGAATTAGAAAGTTTTTTTTGAAGTATTCAAATCCATGACATTATTCTTTATTGTTTAAGAAACGTTTTGTTGTCAGTTTTTTTATTTAAGTCTCCACCCGTATCAAACCAATGACCCTCAAAAGTTGTATCAAAACTTTGAATAAATTTAAATTTTAATAACTTTTTTATAATTGATTTTTTTTTCAAAATTCCAACAAATCTACCATTACTTTATTACCTTACACCGCCGGTTCAATTTTCGACCCCTAGACCGTAAACACCCTGTATATATATATATATATATATATATATATATATATATATATATATTAGGGTGGTCGTTATGTCGGGTAAAAAAAAAATTAACCGGGCCGCCCCTTAAATTGACTCAAAATAGGAAAAAAAAAATGTGTGCCAAATTTCAGCCCTATAGGTCTATCCTAAATTACCCCTGTGAACCACTTGTTCACTAAAAATTTAATTTTTTAATTAAAAATGATAAAGTAATTTTTAATTTTATATTTAGTATAAATAATAATAATTATTGTTATTATTATAATTAAGGGAGAAATATTAATCAAATTATGCATACAATAATATACAGGGTGATCCATATTAAGGGCGCACCATTGCTAACTTCGTTATTGTTGATCATATGATTTCGGCGAAATTAGCAAACAATTAGTATTTTTTCTGCTGATTGCGAAGGTAAAACTATAAAAATATTTAAACTATACACTTTAAAGACATTCAAAAAATCAAAATTTAGAATAAAAATGCTTACTTAATTTTGAACACTCTGTATTTGAAAAATTAAAATGGTTTTAATATTGTTTCTTTTTTTGCACCTACGAAGGATTTGCGGTATTCAGAGATGAGCTGAAGAGCATACTGTTTTCGGTCTTCATCTTTCGTTATTAATTGATTAAACTCAGTGAATAATTGAACCCCCCTTTCCGCAACATCATTTACAACTTTGAGATTGTTTACGATTTTTAATGCATTTTGATAACTCTAACTTTCGCTCCAAAGGGCTGGATCAATATACAAAAAGTCTTGACTGATTCCGAACCGAACAAAGAAATTTCGTGTTTGAGACGTTACAAAATCATCCATTTCTTTTTTACAGAAAATAACCATATCTTTGTATTTTAGTTCAATCCTTTTAGGAATCACATTTTCTATATCTTCAGATTGGTTTAATTCCGTTACCATGCATCGTTTCGTATTCAGTGATACTGATTCATCGAAAAATGCCATCGCAACTGATTCCGAATTAAGGTACCACAGATGGATCACCCTGTATAGTATTGTATGCATAATTTGATTAATATTTCTCCCGTAATTATATAATAACAATAATTATTATTATTTATACTAAATATAAAATTAAAAATTACTTTATCATTTTTAATTAAAAAATTCAATTTTTAGTGAACAAGTGGTTCACAGGGGTAATTTAGGATAGACCTATAGGGCTGAAATTTGGCACACATTTTTTTTTCCCTATTTTGAGTCAATTTAAGGGGCGGCCCGGTTAATTTTTTTTTTTTACCCGACATAACGACCACCCTAATATATATATATATATATATATATATATATATAGATTTGTTTGACCGCACATACAGACCCAAATCGTCATACTTCGCCGCCTATACAGACCAAAATTGACGTTTTCAGACCCGGCTTCGGGACTGAAAAAGTTAATCATAGTATGGAAATCAGGGGGGTTGGTGGGTGCAGGGGGTAAATTTTTAGGTGGGCTTGAAAAGGCGGTGAAACATGATGAAATATACAGATTTAGTTCACGGTTCAGCCAGAGGGCGCCTCGGTCGGGCTCAGCTAGCTGTATATATTCGGCATAGTTAAACTACGTCTTCAAACCCTAAATTTGGCAACGCCGCGGCGTTGGCATATAAATAATGAATATGTATTTCACAGCTCTGATACAGTCCCGATATGCTCTTTACCATTTGGTCCAAAATCACACTTTCCCTCCTGAACGGAGATAAGTAAGCTTCAGATAGTAAAAAAAAGGAAAATCTACTTTATCAAATTTTGAGGGTTATACTTTTAAATATTCGTCAGTAAAATTGAAATGTTAAATATTTAACACAATATATTATTTTTTTAGTATACATTTTTGGTAAATATTACTGTAAAAATATTAGTAGATCGTAATTTTTAATATGGTTGTATGGATGTGATTTACGTATAGTAATATTTATTGTATTATACAAAACATTAATATTAAGTTAATAAAAAGATTTGCGAAATATCTCAAGATTATAAAGAACCTTACACTGTCTGTGGACCATGTAGTTAATAAATAAAGTTTCCACCCCGGTTTTCTTATCCACTTTAAATTAAAAAGGAGTGATACGTCATTTTAAAGGCATTTTAAATATCTACATTTTGGCGTATTAGTTTTTAAAATCGGTTAGTTTGTTTCTGAGATATTTAAGACAAAAATATATTTTTGTATATTTTTTTATAAATTAAAAAAGAAAAATTTTCCACCCCGGTTTTCTTATCCACTTTAAATTAAAAAGGAGTGATACGTCATTTTAAAGGCATTTTAAATATCTACATTTTGGCGTATTAGTTTTTAAAATCGGTTAGTTTGTTTCTGAGATATTTAAGACAAAAATATATTTTTGTATATTTTTTTATAAATTAAAAAAGAAAAATTTTCTGTAATATCTTGAAAACAAACAAACCGATTAAAAACATTGTTCTATTATATTACTTATGTCAAATTTTTATAAATAGTTCTAAACAAAAGCTGTTTAACAAGGTTTTTATTTGGCAAAATTAGGTATCGTGGTTGACCGTTTAATTCCTTAAAAATTAATTTTTTTATTCAAAAACACTACTAGTAGGTACTGTTTTTGAATAAAACCCAGGGGTGAGTCGCAAACAAATGGGTCACACTACAGTATATATATATATATATATATATATATATATATATATATATATATATATATACAGTATGTCTCAGTATCTTGGAATCATATGGAAAACTTTTTTATTATTAATTTTAGGAAAAAAAGTTATTCTTCATAAAAAGTTCTGCATGGTGTAAAACTTAAAATTCAACCCACAAATATAAATTTTTTTTAGTCGTATACGAGGTATGTCAAAAAATATGAATTTGGCGCAAGAGTAAAGTACCTTTATATTTGACAATATCAAAAATTGTTATAAAGAAAAGTTAATCAGAACTAAAAACTACGTTTAAATATGCAATTTCATACATTTACATTAAAAAATTAGGTTTTGTTAATTTTTACTAATCTTTCTATTTTAAATGAACATTTATCTGTTATGATTACAAAAAACATGAAAACCTTAAGTTAAGTCAGGGGATCTAGCAGGCCAAAAAGTTTTAGAATATCAACAAATCATTTGTTTATCAGTGAATCCTAGATTACATGTTACAGTTAAATTTGCATTGATATTGTAGACAAAAAAGAAAAAATATTTTTTTTTTAATGTAAATGGATGTAATTGCATATTTGAACGTAGTTTTTAGTTCTGATTAACTTTTCTTTATAACAATTTTCGATATTGTCAAATATAAAGGTAGGTACTTTACTCTTGAGCCAAATTCATATTTTTTGACATACCCCGTATACGACTAAAAAAATATAATATTTGTGAGTTGCATTTTAAGTTTTACACCATGCAGAACTTTTTATAAAGAATAACTTTTTCCTAAAATTAATAATAAAAAAGTTTTCCATATGATTCCAAGATACTGAGACATACTGTATATATATAAAAATCAGAATCAGAATTAAAAAAAATGTATTGCTTACAACAGCATTTTTACTGTTGCAAAAAAGAAACGGGCTGCGAGGCGGTACAGCATTCGACCCCTAAATCATAATCGCAGGGTTACGGGAAATTTTTATCCCTGTCGTCCATATTTCCAATAATATAATTAAATAACACAAAAACAATCCAAAAACACCAATTATGGCAGTAATTAAACATCACAACAATTAAGAATTTACTATTGCACAAAAGTATTTGCGAATTTTCCGCGCGAAACAAAAACCTGTCAGCTGATGACGAAAATAAATCATTTGCTCACAAAAATACGCAGAATAAGAATCTGAAGTTGAAAATTGCCAACTTTTATTTTTATTTCTTATTTTTTATTTCTTATTTTCGTGGGTATAAAGTGATGTTAGCAATTATAAACCTTTAACTTTTATTTTTATTTCTTATTTTTTATTTTAATGGACCATAAATGCACCTTAAGTTCCTCACTCAGTGGTATAGGTATATATCCATAATTTATTTATCAATATTATTGATGTTATCACACGCCAAACGTGTAACTAATTGCGTATTTTTCCGTATATTGCCCAAAAATAGATATATTATATTAATGTATTAGGTAGGTACCTAGGTACTAAAAACCCAAACAAACAAGTTTATATTCAAAAATTAAAATCTAACCTCAATTTTAAACTTGTAGGTAAAAATATGTATTTATAAATATGTTTAAATATACATTTTACCTAGTCAGATTTGTATAGGTACTTTTAAAATGAAAAGTAGCTTCAGCAAAAATAAAAAAACACTTGTTCAAAACCACAAAACAGGCAACTTTATCCATAAAAAACACCCTTAACCAGGGTTGCCAACTGTAGTAAATAACAAAACCGTACCGGCGGCTAAAAAATGACCGTACTTTTCAAAACAGGACCGTACTTTCGCATTTTCACATATGACGTCAGCAAAACAAGCATAATTTTTAAAATATTTAATTTTGTAAAATTTATTCACAAAACCATAAATAATATTTATTAAATATATAGATAAAATAAAAAATGTCTTGAATGTATGAATTATAATTCATAATTATCATAATTTATAATAATAATTATTATGATGATTATGAATTGAAATTGTGATTTTGAAAATTCAAAATCACAACTATTGTGATTTTAAAATTTTCAAAATCACAATTTCAATTCATAATTATATAATCTTCTACTGGTCGCAACCATGCTTGGTAATCTGGATTTTTAAGCCATTTTCGCCGAAATTTCTATATCAAATCAACAAACGTTTATAAAATTAAAAAATATTTAGTCCAAACCTATTTACCTGTTTCTTATGCCCGGATTTCAACTTTTTGCTAGGACAAACCTTGCTAGTAGTACTATCATCACTATCACTGGACATGTTTCAATCGTTTTTTAATAACAAATTATAACTTTACTTCAGAAATAAACGAACGCTGGGAATACCGCGAAACAAGTTTGATATGAGTTTAACACTAGCGGCAGTTATTAGAAACTGGGAAGAAAGAAGTTATAATTTACAGAACACTACTATATGTAGATTAAAATTTAGCGCCATCTCTAGGGCATTTAATCATTAAATGCCCTAGAGATGGCGCTACAGTCAGACAAAATCATAATATTTTTAAATCGCTTTAATTAAATAAAATTATGGGAAATTTAATAGTTTCTGTTTTGTCATTTTTTTCTTAAAATACCGTACTTTTGGGGTACGGTCCTTAGATTGGACCGTAAACCGTAATTTAAATCAAAATACCGTAAAAGTACGGTCAGGACCGTACCATTGGCAACCCTGCCCTTAACACAAAAAAACATAAGCAAAACAGTCCTTCATCTGTGGAACAAAGTTTGTACCACAGTTATTGCAAGTATGCAAGGAACAGTGTTCTGTTTTTGGTTTATGGCTTGTACCAGTAGATGTCGCTAGGATTTATATTTATCAAATACTTCTACACATAATATACAGGGTGTCCGGGAAAAGGAGGTCAATCCGTTAACCATATATTCCTTGAGTTAAAACAATAAGACTTTCATAATACCATTTTTCAATTTAGAGTTTCATGTTCGATATACAAAGTTTGAAATTTAAAACTTAATTTTTTTAATAATTCGAGTAATTGATAAGATATTAAGTTTAAATTCGGTACACTACTTTAACATAAATAGTTACATTTTTTGAGACCAACAAAATAAAAAACAATTGTCAAACAATGAAAATAGGGGGGTCCAGTACTCACTGATTCCTCCTATTTTTAGTACGTGCGCCAATGACTTCCAAACGGTATTTTTTCAGGTAACGGACACCCTATATATATATATATATATATATATATATATATATATATATATATATAATATAATATAATATAATATAATATAATATTATACCGCTTATTCGTTATATTTTGTATAGTCGACCTTGTTTCCTTTTTTTGAGGGGAAATTTGACGATTTGCCGTATTTTGATTTAATTTGCAGGCAGCACGTAGGCACACATAGGGCCCATTGTTACCTTACGAGCCCGCATCTTTTGCTACTGCTCTGATCGGCCATGCATTATTTCCTCTGGTTCCAAATATCTGTACCCTAGGTGTCTTAGTCTACTATTGAATAGAGCGTCGCATTCGCTTGCTAGTTTCGTCTACTTCGCTGCAGTACCTAAAATCCGCCTCGATGCTGAGTCCGGTTTTGTGTAGGTGGTATTTGACTACCCAGTGTCCTGTTAGGACTCCTGTGATGGCTCCTAACTGGTTCCTGTTTTGTTTCAGGAATCTTTTTGCCTCTTTGCAGTTAGTAGGACCCTTTATAAAGACCCTGGACTGCCTGAGGCCTTGTTGTTCACACCATTTGTTCCTGGAACTGGTTGTTAGTCCAGTTTCTGATTCTGGTTTTTACCAGACAGGATGCGACCCTTATGACAGGTTCTTGCCCCAAAAAGGCCGTGTTACACTCACGAGCCAGCTGGTCTGCTTCCCCGTTGGCTCTGATGCCTCGATGACCCGATATCCAGATAAGGTTAACCTTGTTGAGCACACTGAATAATTCAAGGGTTTTTATGCAGTCCAGTGTAAGCCTCGAGTTGACCCTTTCTGAGTGAAGAGCTTGACTGTCGCTACATATGTAGATATGTTTACCCGAGTAGCCTCTCTGGAAATTCTCTTGGGCTCATATCAGGATGGCAAAGATTTCAGTCTGGTATACCGTTGGGTGACGACCTAGTGCAAGGCTTATTCTCGCCCCAGGTCGCTTCCCATATACACCAGCTCCTGCACCTTCCTTCGTTAGAGACCCATCTGTGTACCAGATGAGCCGGTGTGGGCTCGCTCCAGTCGTTTCTAGAAGGGAAAATACTTTGTATCTTCTGAGGAAGGTAGACATCTTTGGCATTGCATCCCTTCTTGTGAGAAGAGGGTCCCGGTTGATAGTCTCAGTCCAGGCCCTTGCATGCGATTTGCCGTAAAATATATGATACCATAGACATAGTAATACGTCCACATAATATGATACGAATTGTCAACTAAATAAAATTTAGGTTATATCAAATGTTCTGCTTACATCGCTTAGGTTAAGCTTACATAAATTTCTGTGGTTTGGCTTTATAAAAAGCAAAACGTGGTATAATATGCATATTATGTAAAAACCACTAAAAATCTCGTGAAAATTAAAAAACACTAATAATAAGGAATATACGTAATTCAATATTAAAAAGGTGAGAACTGTCATATTCCGTAATTGGAGTTGAAAAAACGGATACTAATCCAAAATAAAGTTTTACAGGAAAATAAATTAAAGTTCACCATTAAACCCCAATATTAAAAAAAAATGTCATCCAGTCGTTTTTTATTTAGGGTTACTTTTTAGCCCACGATAGTGGTTAGGGGACATCCATTAATTACGTGAGATAAAAATAGGGTTGGAGGGGTCAACTTTTGGGTTTAAAGAATATGTATTATAATTCAAATTTCAAAAAAAAGTAATCAATTTTTATTTTTTTAGTTTATCATGTCCGCAAAGAAATTTTAATGGCTAGAATCTCACGCGAGGGAGGGGGGTCTACCACATCTCACCAAGGGGAGGGTGGGTCCAAATTATCATAAAAATGCCTCACCTAATTAATGGATGTCCCCTTATGTTAGTTGAAATGAGCTATAGTATACTATGGTAACTATAACTATAGTTACGGGTTAAACGTCAGTTTCTCACGATTTGACATTATACCGTAATTGCAATTCGTGCGTTATGCAGTGACAACTTATACATTTTTATGCCTATCTACTTAGGTAGTATAAAATGTATGTTTAATTATTTGTTAAAACCCTAGTATCTATAGGAGTTCAATAATAGGACCTTAGTAATGTTCTAATATGCTTAAAAGTTATTGTCCTATTAATAACAAACAGACATGTTAGGAACGAAGGTGTCGATGAGGAACAGTTGATGAAGGCGGTCTGCTTTTTCCATTACGCCACAGGTGATGCTTCCCATGGCTCAAATAATTAAAAATAGTGTCGTATCACCACGATACTCATCTGATAAATTAACTTTTGTTTTTTAACTTTCAATTTAAAAACTAGAAACAGAATAATCGTAATTTTAACCACGTAATATAATTAAATATATTTAATAATATGTTTGTAAAAATTGAAGAAATTGGAGGACAAATAGAAATAAATTTGCAGGATTTTTTTAAATAATAATAAATTGTATATATTTAAGAATCTACCTATCTTTTAAATAAACTATATTATAGTTTACTTAAAACAGAGATTCTTAGAAAACAAAATTAAATTAAATACAATTTAAATTATTTGTTTACAGTCTAAAAACAATTTTGAAAAATCCTGTCGTTTAACCCTTCCTAAATGACAATACTTTTTATTTAACATGGGTTTTTGCACTTTTTGTCCGTTATTTCCTATGTTGGCTTTTTTCACTTGGGTATCTAACTGTTAGATCCTAACATAATGTTAGGATCTAACAGTTAGATACCCAAGTGAAAAAAACCAACATGTTAGTAACATTAAATATTTTGTTAAGTCTAAAATAATTTTGAAAAAAATCCCGGTGTTGTTTAATACCTTTTTAATTTAAATGATATAAAATTTACGCTCTACATAAATTGCTTGTTACGTTTTTTTGTTTGAACATCCATTATTTTCATTCAGGCAGGGTAAAATTAATTTTTTTTTGTTTCAAAATTGTTTTTGGACAATAGACAAATAATTTAGATGTAACACAAGTAAAAAAGGCCTAATACAAAAAATTGAGAGATAAAATATATGTTTCTATTTATCTTAAACTTTGACCCTTTTTATTTACCTTTTTTATAGAGCGTACAATTTTCTACAAAAATAATAATAATAATAAATGTATTAATCCTTTTGACTACCAAACAGTAATATAATTTCAGAAAAGTATTAAGTATAAATAAAGCCTGGATCATTCAGGTATTAAATAATGAGTAGTAAAAAACACAAACACTTTCATTGAATAAAATAATAAATAGATAAAATAGATATTAAAAAGCATACATTTGGAATTCTCAAATAGAATTAAAAGCATTTTTTATTAACATTATCTCTTTTACACAGTTACAAAATCCTTTTAGTGGTAAAACTTTCTACTCAGATGGTAATATATTATATAGTACTGGACCCATGTATAATATGGATTTAATTCGAACTATGACGATCATGTGACAAATTAAAACCATATCTTGTCATATGTGTGATTAATGTTTAAGGATTAAAATTTGTCCATATTATTCCTTACAAACTAAGATTTTTTATATATAAATACAGGGTCAGAGCTGTACGGTAC